ACAACATCTTTGCGCTGTGGATCGCCGGATCGGCTTTTAACCGTGGACGAAGCGGAGTATATTTATTATAAATATATTTTATATTGTATATTATAAATATATTTTTTGCATTCCCATTTGCTCAAATAGCAAAAGAAAAACTCCACGATAGTGTTTTCGTGACTTTCAATAAAAGGAAAAAAATTGAGAGAGACTGATAACGGCAGTCAGAAGAGAGAACGATGTCAAATTTACCATCTCTCCCATAGACGCTGCATTAGAAACACCCTCGCATTAGCGTTAACAATTTTTTTTGTAATTTGATGCAAAGGTGATATAATACAAATAATATTGTTATAAATGTACATACATTAAATAAAAAAATTTAAGACTGCAGAAATATGTTAATTCAGTATACACATCCCACCGGTTACAATTGTGACTGATCATAAAATACAATTTTTCACACACTTTTCCCAAAAAAATTATTGATTATTTCAAAGGGTTACTAATGACACATCATTTGGATATTTTCATGTCTGGGAAAAATTTGGGATTAAATGGGTTAAAATGCGTTTTAAACATAAAGTTAAGTGGTTTTCATGACCCATTTTACTCTTAGTAATTTAATAATTTAATAAATTTCATAATTTAAAAGTTTAGTGCAGAAGTATCGAATCGGTATCGATATCAACGATACTGCCTTGAAAAATATCGGTATCATATCGAAAACAAAATAAGGGGTATCGCCCATCCCTACCATAAGGGGTTTAAACGCAGATGAAAGGGCGTGTTTGGATTTGAATTGTTGACCTTTGGAGTTTGAACAGTCCTAGCTCATTTGAACATTCCGTGTCTCAAGTCAACATTCTATTAGAGTTTAAAAACGGACATTTTTAGACAAGAATAAAACGCCACGATTGCTGGTGAGCCAATGAGCCATAACCGGTGTGGTCAACGAGTCGATTACCATCGCACTTTTGAGCAGCTGTGAGAAAAAGCAACTACTGCAGCCTTGCTCTCGCGAGAGTATTTTGGCACGTGTAAGCCAGAGCCCCGCCCCCTAGTGAGATGATTACCTGCTGTGAGCGGTTCTGCGCAGAACCTGCTTGTATCAAACGAGCCAATAGCGTCACACTTTCTTTTTAGTGTTCTGCATTGTGGCTGTTTGTAATAATTTATTTATTAGCTGATTTAACTCTTTGCTCTCTGAATCAACTTTGCCATTGTTGCTTTTTGTGCTTGTATGTTTTTATTTGCGCTTGCGTCGCTTTATGTATTTCATATTTAGTAACTCTAAAGCCATGCCAATAAAGTTAAAGGGGTCATATGATGCTTTTTTAAAGATCATTATTTTGTGTATTTGGTGTAACAGAATATGTTGACATGCTTTAATGTTCAAAAAACACATTATTTTTCAAATACTGTACATTATTGTAAGTCCTCTATGCCCCGCCTCTCTCAAACGCTTAGTTTTCTACAAAGTCCCTCCTTCCGACAAGCGCAGTCTGCTCTGATTGGCCAGCTGACCCAGTGCATTGTGATTGGCCGAACACTGCAAGCACTCGTCGGAAATGTAACGCCCCTTACCATAATCGCGAGCTTCATCTTTCAAAATAAATGTAAAGACAGAGCCCGAAAGGGGAACAGAGTCTCGTGACAGACACAGTGATGAATATGTGTTTGCAGTACACAAGCCACGGTTAAGACAGCTGACTCCACTGTGATGTGTCTCGCTCTCTCTCTCTCTGTCTCTCTCTCGCTCTCTCTAACTCTCTCTCTCTTGCGCTCTCTCTCTCTCTTGCTCTCTCCCGCTCTCTCTCGCTCTCTCCCGCTCTCTCTAATTTGCAACTTCAGGGATCTTATCTATGCACAATCAGCTTGTAACACTCTAAAGAGAAAGGAAAACTTGAAATCGCATCATATGACCCCTTTAATCTCAATCAGAATGTCTGAGTATAGACAAAATTGAGGATATTGTGTTATAGCGTCATCCATTCATTTGTTCCTGTCTGTTCTGCATTATAGATGCGCTAAAAGTCTCATGACTTCATTTCTGTGTGCATGATTGGTTTATTTTATTTGACAAATTATTTAATAATTGCTGTGTTATATAGTCTTTATAGTCTGTGTTATATAGTCTTTTATAGTCTTTGCTGTGTTATATAGTTTTTTTTTTTTTACAATGATCGATCAAATCTGACCGGGAACGCACTTAAGACTTGTGTGTTCAGATGGCTATTGTAGGAAAAGTCACCAAGCCTTGTGGAAATGTAGATATATCGCATCTGATTAAAATGACCGAACAGAACCAGGGGGTTAAAACATAGACAAAATGGCAGCAGCTGGAATGTGAAAAGATCCTTCCACACGTGCATAAGATCTTTGCACATATCAAATATATTATTTCTGTCTGTTTATAAAATAATACTATGAAACGCATCCTGATATTTGTGGGGTGGGGGGTAATTAAAAAAAGAACAACCTTGTAATCAAACATCTCTGCTATTTTATTTTATTCAAATCAAGCTTCGTGCGCATATTACCTTATACACGGTGTTTTGTATTGGACACAAATCCTGTATGGAGTCCTTTGGTTTCCTGGTCTTTCTCGTGTATTGCAGAAGCTCTCGGTCTGCTTGAGGAACACAGATGCATGTGATTAGCACGCAGCACCAGCGCTGCATTCAGACGAAAACATCCATGTGCTGGTTACTGCGAGATCTATAGTCTATACTGTCTCCCCGAGTTCAATGGTACAGAATAAAGACATGTCCGTATTATTGTAATGGATCAGTACAGCAGTCCTCATGTCCAGTGCATGCGCCCTCTGGTGATGATGCACATGCACACAATCATGCAGATGTTGCAACCAACGGAATTATATCTGAATAACGTTTTGTTATACTCCCCGAATGTTCGATGAGGGAATTTGTGAATATGCATGCGACGATATTGCAATCTAACTGGAACGTTGCAATCAATACAGTCATAAGCTGTTTTTTAATTTGATGTTAAATATTTTTAAATAGTTTTAATGGGATGTTAAATATTGGATTCCATTATAAGTTATGCATACAAATAACTACTTGATAATACTTTAATTATTGTTGAGGAATGTATCAGCAGCATGCGAAAACCACAGGTTGCAGGTTCAGAATACAGTAGGAGGGGCCTAAAACTGAGGTAATAATGAGGCTATATCATCATTTAAACCTGTGCAAATGTACCTAGAGTTTACTATCAGACAACTAGTTACTATCAGAAACGTTGAAACATATACATTTTATTATTATTATTTATTTATTTGCGATATATAATCATTGTGCGCTCTCTTGTGGTCAGAATAGTAAAAAATGCGACATTTATTCCATTCAACTTTACTGAAAATGAATGAATGATTTATGTTTTTTTTTTTTTTTACAATTTACTGATAAAAATTTTTTTTTTTTTTTTTTTACCACTTTTGACCTGATTTGACCACTAGTGTCCGCCACAGTACACTGACACCTTCCGGTCATATCCTTTCTCGATAATTCAATCCAAAGATATGTCTGTGTTAACAAATTATTTATGAAACTATATTACAGAACTCCTACTGAGAATTATGCATTATCACAGGTCAACTAATTTTCTGCTTCCTCCTATCAAGACATTGCAATTGCCTGAAAGACAATTGTTTTTACAATCAAACTTATTCTGCAACAGAAGTCCTCGTGCATCATTTCATAAAAGCACTTCTTCCCACTTTCTTTGATGCCAGCCCATTTTAATTACTGTTGAACTTGCTCATTTACATTATTCAAAAGTCACTGTAATTAAAGTGTTTGGGTGCAGCTTTGTGTTGAAATGCCTCACCCATCATCATCACCATCACCATCACTAGTGTGAGATCATCCAGACAAACGCGAAATCCTTTCATTTCCCTGATCACGGAGGAATGCTACACATCAAAGCGGTTCAGGTAAGAGAATATCATAACTTGATTCCATCTAAAGCTCACTGCATTGAGCTCATTTGTGTTGCATTTAGCGGCTTTAGCTCCTCTGGCTAATGTCGGCTAGCAGACAGTTTGTTATGACATGAAGAACACACAGCCACGTATAAATGTAACATACTGAACTACTGACTGAAAACAGACATTTTCATATTTATTTTGAGGAATACAATGTGAAATTCGTAGATAGTTGTGATATTTGTTATGATAGTTATTGTTTGGCTAGTTAACGTTAGCTTGCTAAAAATAAACAAAATTTAGTAATTTAACAGTCGAGTCCAAATTGATTGAAATGGCTGAAAGTGCCATTAATAATTCTTATTTTTAATATTTAGATAAACACCAGAGGCAGAAGTACAACTAACTTTATTTACTCTTTCTTAAAATCAAACGAATAACCACTGATTTATTATTAATGGATAAAGTAAATTATAAATATTGCTTTGGTGGTAACATGGTACAGTGGCTGTGTCAGATGATAATACCGTGGTACAGGTCCTCAAAGATGCTGTACTGGTAAGGTATTACAATGGTAACGTTGCATGCTCTCAAACATCAATGTACTTCAAAAATCATTTAGTCTGCTTAAACCCCACCCCTACAAGCACATGCTACACGCCCACATCTCAAAATCCAATCAACAACCCGATGGATAGAACCAAGTCCTGCCTTTTTCGATAATCACTCAAATGTACATCACAATACGAAATAAATATGTGTCGCTATTTCGGTTTCATCATGACTTCACAATTAAGATGGTTTATCACACACTAAAACACCTAAACGCAATAAAATTGTATTCTGAACTTGTATTTCCTTCTGTTAGGGAATCTTATCTGGTCAGGGAGGGTTGTTGATGTTTTTCCAGGCCCTGCAGGAATAGCACATTTGCGTGCATAAAGCGGTAAAATGAGTGCGGGAAAGCCGAGTGGTCTCAAACCACCCACCAAGATTGGAAAACCAGCAGCTGCGACACCAACCAAAACCTCGCCCACCTCAGGTGAGTCACCCATAGGTTACATAAGAAACACACTGATTCAGACCTGACGTGCTTGTATTTTGGCTGATTGTAGCTGACGCCAAGGCTGTACCATCTCCGACCTCTAATTCGGCCCAAGATGCTGCGTCAGATTTCTCTGTTGGTGAAAGTGTTTGGGTCAACGGAAATAAACCAGGTTATGTGCAGTTCATCGGAGGGACCCAGTTTGCACCGGGCCAATGGGCGGGAATAGTTCTAGATGAACCTATCGGGAAAAACAATGGCTCTGTGGCCGAAGTGCGCTACTTCCAGTGCGAGGACTTGCGAGGTATATTTACTCGGCCCTCCAAACTGTCCCGCACTCCAGTGGCAGAGCGTGAAGCCAATGGGACGCAGACACCCGCCAACAAGACGGCCACCTCCCCTGCCAAAGGTCCTGTTCCTGTAACTCAAACCACTAGTGCAACAACCAAGACCTCAACAAACCTAACCAGGACCACCAGCGAGTCTGCATCCAATCTGTCTGAGACGGCTTCGGCCAAGAAGTTGCAGCGGGAACTGAAGTTGGGTGATCGTGTGCTGGTAAGGCCCATCTCTGGTCTGTCTTCATGCTTAGTGGCTCCTTGTGGGAAGTTTGAGGGAACGTTTTGCTTGCACTCCTCAGGTTGGTGGAACCAAGGCAGGTGTTGTGCGTTTTCTGGGCATAACTGACTTTGCGAAAGGTGATTGGTGTGGCGTTGAGTTGGACGAGCCTCTTGGCAAGAATGATGGGGCAGTGGCTGGTGCAAGGTAAGGCCACAGTTTGTCTCAGTGTTGGGAAGGCTACTTTGGAAATGTAATAGGTTACAGATTACAAGTTACCCTATTTAAAATGTAATAGTAGTGTAACTTTTTCAATTACTTTATTAAAGTAATGTAACTGATTACTTTTGATTACTTTTTGATTACTTTTCTAAATTTCTAATGAATGTTTATTTGCAACTGTTAATCATTTTCAAACATTTACACCATGCGGGGTTAACCTTACAGTAGTGCTCAGACTTCCAAAATCCTTCATCACTTGAATTTGATAATAATAATAAATAAAAGCATATACATCAACTCAAATACAGTTATCTAATAAGCATGTGTCCTATTGTGTACTAAACTCCTGAAATATTGGTGTCTCTTTGCCATTTGTATTTATTTTTACTACAAATTCCATGGTTAAACTATGGTTAGTGTAGCAAAAACCATCGTTAATTTGTGGTTACCATGGTTTAACAATAGTAACAATTGTCTTTGGATTTATAGTAAAATCATCGTTAATTTTCGTAAGGGTTGTGTTGTTGTCTGCCCTAGCTCCCCCTAAACCTATTATAAAATATGATTATTTGTCTGCTAAATTACTACTGTAACATTACAATAGATAATAATGGCGCCTGATTTCCACAGACACGCAGAATGTGCAGGATTCATATATTGTCTTTTTTGCGGCTTAATATTCTCAGACACTAGTCCATATCGCGTTTTGATTCAAGTGTATTGACCTACTTTTGATTTATTCGTCCAAAATGTGGCATATTCCGTCCGCGTTAGGCTATAAGAATACCGTTTTTATGACTGGATTCTACGAACCAGTCTGTGTTTTCCGCATCGCGGAAATTATAGGGCCGTATCAGTGTTGCTAGATTGGAAATGTCCAAGTATCGTACCAGAATCTCAAAATTATCATGGTTGGAAGAAAATTATCGTACACGAGTAAAAACTTACAGAATACAGCTATTTATCTACAAGACTAAAACAACAACTTCTTGACACAACCTTCAAATTACCACAATTAATAAATAACCATGTTAGGGCCCTATGAAATAAGTTTTATTTTTTCCCCAAATTCCTTTTTTTTTAAATTCCAAATTTAAATTTTTTTTGGATTCTGTTTTTTTTCCATTTCAGTTTTTCTGGACTCCTTCTTAAATGGTTAAATTAAATTGTATTAATCAAAAGCATGTCTAATTAAATAATGAAACATATACAATTCAACATCAAATCTATTAAAAAGTT